CAGGGGCCAGGGCTCTGGATCAGGGGCCCGGGCTCTGGATCAGGGGCCCGGGCTCTGGGTCAGGGGCCAGGACTCTGGATCAGGGGCCTGGGCTCTGGATCAGGGACCAGGGCTCTCTTGGGGTGGGATTGACTACTACAGAGGAAGGGCCCCCCAGCCCACACAGAGGACGGCCTCTCTCCCTGTCCCTGGAGTGTGGCTGTGGGCATGAACTAGCTTTCCCTCCAAGATGGGCACCTGCCTCACAGGGCAGGGAGGTGATGGGTAAGGGGGGGGGGGCGCGTGGAGGCTAGACCAGCGCATGGTGGTCTCAGGGAAGGAGCCTCCCAGGCCACTGCTATCTGACCCACATCCGAGCAAGGTCAGAGGATGGGTCAGGCAGGTGGGCAAGGAGTGAGTGAGTGAGTGTGTGTGTGTGTGTGTGTGTGTGTGTGTGTGTGTGTGTGTGTGTGTGTGGTGGAGGCGGATGGGGCAGGCAGGTGGGCAAGGTGCGGCGGGGGTGGGCTGGGGGGGGCGGGGCTCCCTGCTGGCTCTCCTCGCAGTGACAAATGGGGGAGGCGCTGAGCAAAGGGCTGTGTATCCCTTGGCCTGTAACGCCTGTTCTCTTTCCCCTCGGGGGGCAGGTGGGATCCTGGCAGGACTGGTCTCAGACCGCCTGGAGAAGAGGGCCTCCACCTGTGGCCTGATGCTGCTGCTCGCCGCACCCACGGTGAGCCCACCCGCCCCACCTGGAGCCCCTGATGTGGCCACTCGCCCACTGCTCAGCTGGCCCACACCGGGGCCCTGTCCTCTCGCTCTGAGCTTCTGAGCCTTGTCCTACTCTGCAGAAATCTTTAAGAGGCAGAGCCCCCTGGGGCTGAGGGCTCACGCGGCCCCCCGAGGGTCTCCTTCCAGGTCAGCCCTGTGAGTGACCCCAGCCCTGCAGCTGGTTTCTCAAAGGTCCTCCCTCCGCGTCACCCCAAGTGCCTGCCCTCCTGACGCCACAGGGGCTTCTGCAGACCGTACTTTCCTTGGAGCCCAACACCCCACCCCACCCCCGTTTGCTTTAGGACCTCGACCTATTCCTCATGCCCTGCCACGTCGGGCCCATGGAGCATGCCACCTTTGCCTCAAAATGGGGGGCAGGACAAGCTGCTCCTAGGTCCTTCTATGCTGGTCAGCTCTCAGGGACCCACAGCCCCAGAGTTGTCTCCACCTTCATCGCACTTGGGCCCCCACCCTCCCCAAGACTTCCTATGTGGGTGCCCTCCCAGACCCGCACTGCGATCTTTGGGCCCTAGCGAGTCTGGAAGCAGCCGCCATGGTCCTCCCAGCCGCAGTCTCCGCCTGGCCTACGGCCACTCGCCTAACAGGTGGCTTCCAGGGGCCTCACAGCTGACCACAGCTTCTTGGTCAGCTGGCTTTGCCTGCAGCCACCTGTTCATCCTTTAGGGTCCCCAACACCTGCCCCCCACTCACCCTTCCCCTCCCCTCGCAGCACTGATCTTATAACCCCTGGTTTAGGCGGCTTTGGGGTGCATCGGTAGCTTGAGTTAGAGCAGGCAGCTTCACCTTGCTGGGCTTTATCTGAAAAAGCAGGGTTGACCGTGGTACCTGCCTATGGCAACCCTGGTGCAGCGGGGTGCTGGAGGGAGGTAGGAGGGAGTGGTGCGCAGGGCAAGGGCTTGCCCTCCAGGACCTTGCGGCAATGCAGACCTCCTTTCTTAGAGACCGCTGTGTTTCTGTGCTTCCAGCTCTATGTGTTCTCCGCCATCAGTAAGATGGGGCTGGAAGCCACGATCGGTGAGTGCACGCGGCCCGGCCGCCCCTCCCCACAGTCAGCGGCGTGAAGATGGGGATTGGCCACTGTCACTGTCCTCAGGTCCTCAGGCATGGGTGGGCATGCAGGGCCTGGACCGGAGCAGGATGCATGCTGGGAGCCCATGGTGAAAGGGTGCGGCTGTCTGCCCCACTCCCCAGCAGCGCCGGCCGAGTGTCTCAGGCAGCGAGCATGAGCGCTGGACCCAGGCTGATGCGTGGACTGTGGTCTGTCTCCTCATCAGTCCTGCTCCTCTCGCTGGTCCAGCCTCCTGGGTCATGCTGGGGAACTGTGTTCCGTGTGTGTGTGTGTGTGTGTGTGTGTGTGTTGCCAGCACCAGGAGGGCGTGTGTGTGTGTGTGTGTGTGTG